TAGCTCTGTTTGATAGATTACAGTGCAACACTATTCTTATTACATAATTATATAAATGTTATAAAACCAAGAACATAGGAAAAGCAAAAAGAAATACAATCCTGAAGCATCTGAACAAGATGATTTGAAGAATCCTTTTAGAGCACATTTAGAAACCATAAGAGGAGTCGGGGGTGATACATGCACACTGCAGTCATGAACAAAATGCATTACACACCTGGTCATCCCGACACGGGCAGGGCAATGGAGATGTTCACACATGTACACACGCACACACGCTCCTCTTTCTTCTGCTTCCAGCCCCTCTCCATACATTCAGTCCCACCCCTCCCCAAAAGAAAAGATCAGGCACAGAATCCTAGTGAACCCCACATCTGCCTTGCTGGAGGACATTAAGTGACCGTAAGGTAAGTGTGTGGGCACTCACCCACAACATGAAACAAAGCATGCAGCAATTGTTTTGAGAGCTAACAATTTTCACCCAGAATGGCATCCTCTGAAAATTTTCTGAAATCTGTTGACTCTGCTTGATGACAAATGATCTGGATATTATTTTCTAAATCAGGATAGAACTTGGCAGATGACTCATGACTCCAATAATGGCTTTAATTAAAAATAATAATTAACATGAGGATAGAGCTCCATACCGCTCTTTTCACATAAGTTCATTCTAGTAGTGGACATTTTATAGACTGCTCTGATCAGAATCACAGTAGAATGCCCTGGGCAGAAAGTGAGAAAAAAAATGATAAAATAAAATCCAAAACCATAAAACCAACCAGACTTAGTGGTCTGATAGAGACTAGTAAACTCCCGAGACTGGGGCCCTTCAAGCCTGGAACTGATCCCATTGCCAGGAATCACCCTTCAGCCAAACAACAGACAGTGATCAATAGCATCGGGGAGGAATGTTCTCTTCAGTGCCATCAACCATAGGAGACCCAAAGGGCAGTATCTGCCCAAGAACAACGCACAGAAACAATGCTCTAAGCAGGAAGCGGCAGGAATGAAGGAAGACTGGGAATGGGGAACCCAGAGAGGAAGAGGGAGGAGTGCTGGTACATTGACCTGGAGGGGGGGTTTGCAACTGATGTCACAAAACAAAATGTGTATAAATTGTTCAGTGCAAAACAAATAGGCTCTATAAGCTCCCCCAAACTACAATAAAAAAAGGTAAAAATCAAGTAGATGACGTTTGTTGGACCCCTACAAAAGGCAGATCCTTTGCTGAATGCCTGGCAACGTGGTGGTTGTTAAGTGCTGTCGCGTCGGCTCCAACCCATAGTGACCTGTGTAGGGTTTCTGAGGAGTGACTGGTGAGTTTGAACTGCCAATCTTGAGGTTCAAACCGACCTTGTGGTCCAGTGCTTATCCTACAGCGCCACGCCAGGACTACCACCAAACTGGTTCCAACCAATAACGACCCTAATGCACAACAGAATGAGATATTGCCCGGCCTTGCACCGTCCTCACAATTGTTGTTGCGCTTGAGCCACTGTGCCATTTTACAATGGCATATTGTGAGTAATTGTCATTATGACTAATTGCAACTGTCACAATTGTAAAGGTAAAAGTTTATTAACAAAAACGGAGTAGTAGTTAATCTTCCAGTCCAGAAACAGAGGACCCTAGGACCATCAAGGGAGAAGAGCACAAGCAGAATGCAGGACCTTATCCAGAGAAGCAGTGATGAAGGCAGATAGGGGGACATGGAGAGGAGGAGCAGCTGAGGACTAGCTGAGGATTCATGGGAAGAAAGGGACTAAGAGCTGGTGGCCAGGAGGCAGACTTGCAGAAGGTGCCCTTTGGTGGTGTCAATTATTATAGATGCCTGAGTGTTTAAAAAAAAAGAAAAAGAGCTTAAGTGAATAGAGAGAAACACTGTTAACTGATGGCACACGGAGGGGATTATTATCCTTGTAATGAAACAAGATGTATGATTTGTTGAATGTAAAACTGATGATCTGCCCTGTAAACCTTCACTCGACCCACAGTAAAGACTTTAAAAAAGAAAATGTGCAATTGTTTTATGAAAAATAGGCACAGAGTTCCCACACTCCTAAGCATTGTGATTTACCTGTGGATGATCATAAGGTCTATGACGAGCAACTCAACAAGTTGCCTGTGTTTAGGGTAGCTTTGCTACTGTCCCTGACGCTGTCCCTGACACTCTGACAAGGCAGAATTGTCCTAAATGTATATAGACACATAGAAAAATACACACACACACACACACACACACATGACTTTAGGAAAGATATTCTTTAAATCAGTAGGTCAATTAAGATGTTAAAAAGCAAGCAACAGTCAATGATGATTAAGAAGAAATTGAAGTACTTACGTTATCAGGTCCTATTAAACAGCCCACACTTTTCAATGGACAGAATGTATCGTATTGTGCATAAAAATGTCCACTGGAGGGATTCCATATTAAATAATGGTTTTGCTCCCAAGTCAACACATAGACAGTTGGACCCTGAGGAAAAAGATGATGCCTTTAATTAAAAACACTGCCCAACTAACTAGGCAATTCAGGTACAATGGGTTTCAGGGCCACAATTTACATGCTTAGTGCTGCACAAAGGTTGCAGCTGCTGCTGTTGTTGAGTGCTGTGGAACCGAGGCCTACCAACCCTGTGTACTAACTAGTACAGCACACTGACCAGATAGACAGCAGCTGTGTCCGCGGTCTACCAATCCTGTGTACTAACTAGTACAGCACACTGACCAGATAAAGACAGCAGCTATGTCCGCGGCCTACCAATCCTGTGTACTAACTAGTACAGCACACTGACCAGATAGACAGCAGCTATGTCCGCGGCCTACCAATCCTGTATACTAACTAGTACAGCACACTGACCAGATAAAGACAGCAGCTATGTTACCTTCCCAAGCTTCTTTAACATAGTGTGATGGTTAGGGTTTTGTGTCAGTAGGACTAGTTCAGGATTCGCAGTAGTTTAGCAGTTAAAATACAGTAATCCCTCATGTTGAGATACAAGGCGCTCTGGTAGCGTAATGGTTACGAATCGGGCTGCCAACCTCATAGTCAGCAGTTCAAAACAACCAGCCGCTCCGTGGGAGAAAGATGAGGCTTTCTTTTCTTGTAAAGATTTACAGCCTCAGAAACCCTGTACAGGGTCGCTATGAGTCGGAACCGACTCCATAGCTCTTAACAACATGATGAGATATAATGTCATGTGATAATCCTTCCCATGATGTGCTCTGGTGTGATCAGCCCAGAATCGATGTAATTACACGATGTGTCAGCCTTGACTTCTGTGATGTTAATGATGTTAAAGGATGTTAATGGTAGCGTAGTGGTTATGAGTTTGGCTGCTAATCGCATGGTCAGCAGTTCGAAACTGCCAGCAATTAGATGAGGAGAAAGATGAGGCTTTCAGCTCCCATAAATATATGCAGCCTTGAAAACTCTATGCAGGGTGGCTATGAGTCAGAACCGACTCCACAGCACATCACCACCACGATGTTAATGAGGCTGGGGGCAATCTATAGGATTAGATTGTATCTCGAGCCAATTACTTTTGAGATAGAAAAATGATTCAACAGGCAAGAAAAGCTCCAAGGAACCTTCTACTGCCAAGAACCAAGAGCCAGGACTAGAGTACATCCTTTGGGCCCGGGCTCCCTGCACTGTGAAGCTCCTAGATCCAGAGGAAGTTTGATGCCAAGACTCATGGAGATCTTCAAGCAATGTGGAGCCCAGAGATTCTGAAAGGAGACAATGACTTATTGCCAACGCTCTGAATTTGGACTTGTAGCCAATTAAACGATGAGGCCATAAATGTCTGTTTGTGAACGGCAGTTTTAGACAATTAAGACAAGCAGGCTGAAGAACTAGCCATGATGGAAAGAAACAATGACTAGCATTTGCTTGTTGGACTCACTACGGTTGTCATTTAAGTCCGAACGGTTGACTATGATGGAAACCTACTTCCATCCTTCAAATACAATGACTTACATTTGATTTACCTTTATGATTATGTGAATGCGTACGAGAAGTTTGGAAGGAGGGGAGTGGGGCTGGGGGTTAGAGCCCAAAGAGGCGCTTTAACTTTTGGCTTGAAATACTCATGTCTTGTGGGATTCATGGTTTCCAACGAACAAGTCATTTGTTGCATAATTTTGTCTGATGCCCATAATAGTTTACTATGGAAGGCCGAGCAAGAATAATGGTCCCAGCATCCTTAGAAAGTCAGAGTTGTGAAGTAACTTATCCATGACCACACAGCTAATGAGGAGTGGGGCACAGAGCCTTGAACCGAGGCCTTGCGATACTTCCTACCCCGGGGTCCTTTCCTTTGGACCAGGGCTAGGTCTATCTGGACAATGATGGGGAAGAATGAATTAGCATGCAGACATGATGGTGTTGTTGTTGTTAAGTGTTGTTGAGTCGGTTCCCACCCAAAGCAATCCTGTAAAAGATTTCTGAGTAATGGCTGGTGGGTGTGAACTGCCGACCTTGGGCTTCAAACTGACCTTGCAGTCCAGTGCATTATCCTGTAGGACCATTTCATTATTTGCCTAGCAGTGACTCGTGCTATCTGATACCCAAGCATGCACAGAGCTTCGTGGCCTTTTTCTGAAATACCCATTGGATTAGCTGCTTCAATCGTGTGAATTTTTGGCCTGGTATTCTCACAATTTAGGGCTATAGGAAGTAAGTTAGGCAGACAAGGCCTGATTGTTCCCAAGTCTCTAATCCAATCCAAACAACAATGATAACATCAAAATGCAGCTGTTGGCACGGCGCTCCTTCCGTCTGTGGTAATCTGCCCGGTTCCCCTTTGTCTGTCAGGTTAACAGCAGATACTTCTAGAAGCAGTAGGCATGAGAGTCACGAGAGCTCTGTTGTTGTTGTTAAGTGCCATCGAGCCAGTTCTGACTCATAGCAACCCTGTAGAGCGTTTCAAAGGAGCGACTGGTAGGTTTGAACTGCTGACCTTGAGGTTAGCAGTCCAGTGCTGATCCTACAGTGCCACACCAGGACCCCAAGTCTCCTCATATGTTTTTAGAGCCCCTTCATTCATTAGCTGAATAACATGAAATCACTACAGGTATCAGGATTCTTAGTCAGGTGGGTGGGAGGAGGCTCATACTGAAAGGACTGAGCTAGGTGGAGACTATAGATGACGAAGGATTAAGATTTGAAAAAAGAAAACAAACAAACTTGCCCACCCCCCTAAATAACCTGAAGTATCCTGCCACATACTGTGCAGGGTCCAGAGTCCCAGTGTAAACCATTTCATGGCTCCTAGTTGGCAGTTCTGTTAGGGTTCTAGGAGCCCTGGCAGCTTAGTGGGTTCACATTTGAACTGCTAACCACAAAGGTTGCCCATTCACACCCACCCGCTGCTCCTTCTGTAGAGAGTTTCAGCTTCAGAAACCCTATGGAACATTTCTGCTTTGCCTTACAGGGCCACTATGAGTTGCAATGGATTAAACAGCAGTCGATTTATGACATTCTCCAAGCAACTCAAAGGCTTATTAAGAAAGGGAGCCCTGCCTGTTATGTGGAACACTCCAGCTCAGACAACGTCCCTCCTGTGAAAGGCATCCCATGTGGACTTACCTCAGGGATTGCGTTACCCATCATGAGCCAAACCTTCTTACCCAGGAACAGAAAATAGTTACATAGCAGTACGGCATGCTCTTCTTCATCTCCTGCCAGGAGATCAAGAAATTGCTAATGAAGAGAAAACGATTGTGTTAGAAGGGCTCACTGCTTCCTTCTAGACGTGACTATACAGAAGTTTAACAAGTTATGGTTAGAGCTAGGGCCCTGGAGGACAAGACCTATTTTTCAAATCTTTCCCAAAATGTTGGTACTATACTGGCAATTTATAATAATAAAACAACCAGACTAACGTTTTCACGGATAAGGTGTTTTCATTGACATTTGATGGCATGGGTTTCCAAAGTCAATAATTACTGTGACTAGGGTGGACTGGGGTGAGCATTTACTTTTCATTTTTAATATGTATATATGTATGGCAGCTCACAATATGCTACATGTTTTTGGGGCACAAATGCATACACTCATTTAATCCGAGACCAACCCTTTGAGGGAGGTACTTTTAGTTTCCCATTTTCAGGTGAGGAAGTAAAGACACAGATAGGTGCGGTAACACTTAACCCAATACCATCCAGTTGATTCTGACATACAGCGGGAGCTATAGAACAGGGCAGAACTGTTCAGTTGGCTTTCTTAGACAGTAAACCGTAGAGAAATAGACAGGCTCTTCTTTCTCCAGTCAATGGGTGCTGGTGAACTTGAACCCCCAACCTTGTAGTTAGGAGCCCAAAGTTTACGCAGTATGCCACCAGGACTCCTTTGTTGTTGTTGTTATTAAGTGCTGTTGAGTTTCAACTCATAACCACACAGGATATGATTTTCCAAAGGAGCCCTGGCAGCATTATTGTTGTGCACGGTGGAGCACAGTGGATTACAAATTGGGCTGCTAACCACAAGGTCAGCAGCTGGAATCTACCAGCCACTCCAAAGAAGAAGATGAAGCTTTCTGCTCCCTTAAAATGTACAGCCTTGAAAACCTTATACAGGGTTGCTATGAGTCGGAACTGAATCTATGACATGTAAGTACCACCCCTACCAAAAGGTTTCTAAGGAGTGGTTGATGGGTTTGAACCTCTGACCTTGCAGTTAGCAGTCCAGTGTTTATCCTACAGTGCCACACCAGGACTCCAAGTCTAGCCCTAGAACATATGAATTCTTCCATACTTTAGCTCCTTTAGAACATATGAATTCTTCCATAGATGGTTCTAGGATATAGAAATTGTATCTCTATCAACTGTTAATACTGATGCTTCCAAAGTATATCAGGGAACCAAATATGTAAAGTGTATTTAAATTTCTTCCATTTAGGATTATGCTTCACAGGAGTTGAATAGCTATAATTAGACTTGATGTAAACAGAGCTCAACATGCCATCCAGCAACAAAATGAAAACCTGTGATAATCCGTATTTCTTTCAGACTGCCTAAATTTATGTTGTACACTTAGACTATAAGTTCCATGAAAGCAGAGCCCAATTAAGGAGCTCCGGTAGCCTAGTGGGTTATGCTTTGGACTGTTAACAGCAGTTTAAATCTATCAACAGCTCCTGGGGAGAAAGATGAGGCTTTCTGTTCCTATGTAGACTGACAGCTTCGGAAACCCTGTATACAGGATGTCTAAGAGGCAGAATGCACTCAGCATGCTGCAGTAGCAGAAACCATTGTATTTTATTGACAGCCGGAAACGTCTACTAAGAACTTGCCTCCAACCGTGTCTGACCACCATGACTAAGAAATACAGTGGAACCTGCAAGAGCTGGAACTCACCTGGGCTGACTTGTTTTCTGCCTTTGACAGGCTACAGTCTTCTTGTTGTGTGCCATTGAGTTGGTTCCAACTCATAGTGACCCTGTACTGGGTTTCTGAGGAGTGGTTGGTGAGTTTGAACTGCCAACCTTGCAGTTAGCAGTCCAGGACTTATCCTACAGTGCCACACCTTTAAAACTCCCATTTTAGTGGGAAATATTTGAATTTCCTTCTGTGACAGGTTTTTGCCTTACTCAGGTTCTGGCTTTCACAGGTTGTGCTGTGCAAAGTTATGGTGTTGGAGGAGAAAATTGAAAGTGCCATGGGCTGCCAAAAGAACCAACAGATCTGTGTTGGAAGAAGTGCAGCCAGAGGCCAGGGTGGATAAACTTTGTCTCTCATCCTTTGGACGTATTGTCAGGAAGGACCAGTTGCTGGACAAGGAGATCATGTTTGGTAATGTGGAGGGTCAGAGAAAAAGGAGAAGACCCCCAGAGAGATGGACTGGTAAAGCGGCAGCATCAACGGGCTCAAGCATGGCAACTATTGTGAGGTTGGACCAGGATCGGGTAGTGTTTCGTTCTGTTGTGCATGGGGGCACTATGAGTCGGTACCAACTCAACGGCACCTAACAACAACAACAATACTGTGCAAACTGACACCCATACTGTCTAAATAATTCCCAAATATAATGAAGTATATACTTTTCATTTTTTAATGAAGAAAACTCCCTATGTTATATGATCAGTTAAGTAAAAGTTACCACAGGATAAGCACGGACTTCATGTTCAGTTTGAACCACAAAGTCAGCTGTTGAAACTCACTTCGGAAACCCTATACAGGGTGCTATGGATTGGAACCAATTCGACGGCACTTGACAACAGCAAGTAAGACAATCCTTTTATGAATAACACTGGGCGCCTTGGTGGCCTTGTAGGATAAGCACTGAACTACGGACCACAAGGTCAGCAGTTCAAGCCCACCAGCTGTTCTCTGGGAGGACTATGAGGCTCTGTGTTCCCATAAAGATTTACAACTTTGGAGACCCTTATCAGGGGACTGATGAGTCAAAAGCAAGTCAATGGTAGTGTGTTTGTTTTTATTTTTTGGTTGTTCAGGCAGAACCTGGAGGGCAAATCAGCATGGAGGCATCTGAAGTGCTATCGTGTCATTTTTAGTGTGAACACTTAATTGTTTAAAAGTATCGGAATCTTGGAAGAACTAAACCCCAAGCTCAAGCCATGCCCACTGTCACTACAACTCATGGTGACTCTATGAAACAGAACTGCCCCACTGGCCTTCCAAAGGTATAAATCTTTACAGAAGCTGATTTTTCTCCCACAGGGAAGCTGGTGGGTTCGAATCACTGACCTTTCAGTTAGCAGATAAGAGTCTACCCACTGTGCCACCAGTCCTCCCTTGGGAGAATTAAACCCGGAAGGAGAAAATACCACAGGCTTTAGCTTATCCTGCTACACAGAGGGCAAGGTAGACTTTTATGATGACCAATGGTGAGGGCCTGGTGTGGCTCTACAGGTTAATGCGCTGGACTGCAGGGTCGGTTTGAACTGCACGGTTGGCGGTTCAGGCTCACCAGCCGCTCCTGGGAAACCCTCAATGGGGTCTGTGTGGATTGGAACTGGCTCGAAGGCACTCATCAGCAACAATGAATATCGCAATTTAAAACGATGAAAATCAGCTAGCAAATGTTCAATTAAGTCAGCTCAAACGAGTAAGTCTTGGAGGAAGAACAAAGGTCAACTTACATCAGATGTGCTCCACAGATCACAGACACCGGCAAATGAAACAGCGTCAGGCAAGAAAGGAATCAAAGACACGTAGCAAGCCACCAGTTCCTGTAAAACCAAAATGAGCTTGTGACAAATAATTCCTAATAAAATAGAAATTTGGGCCCCATACCTCATTTCTGGCAATACAATAATCCTACATATCATAAATACTAATGTGTCCAAAATGAATCTCTAAACTGCTACCAAGCGTTATGCTAATATCAGTGCATTTAATCCTCACTAAACTGGAGTCCTAGTGTGGCGCTGCAGGATAAGCACTGGATTGCTAACCACAAGGTCAGCGGTTCAAACCCACCAGTTGCTCCTCAGAAACCCAGTACAGGATCACCGTGAATTGGAAGTGACTTGACAGCCCTGAACAACAAGAAACAATCCTGTGAGCAGGTCATTGTTATTCTCCATCGTTTCTGAATGAGGAAGTGGGTAATTTAATAACCATCCTGAGGATATAGCAAGTCTGTGTCAGAGGCAGCTTCATACCTGGAAAATAATGGCTCTCAAATCCATGTTTGTATCCACTCTACTTCTCTGAAGAAATGAGAGAGTTTATCTTCAAATTTAAGAGTGGGAACACATTTTGAAATAAGAAGCCAAGCACAACATTAAGAGAAAGAATACGAATTGTGATGATATAAAACACAGGATTCCTAGTGGCAAAATGAATTAAGCATTTTGTGGCTGCTAACCACAAGGTCAGAGGTTCAAAGCCACCAGGTGCTCTATAGAAGACAGATGAGGCAGTCAGCTTCCATAAAGATTTACAACCTCAGATATCCTATGGACCCATTCTACTCTGTCCTAGAGAGTTGTTACGAGTCAGAATCAACGGTTGTTGTTGTAAAGTGCTGTCAAATTGGTTCCAACTCATAGCGACCCTGGATAGGATTTACCAGGAGAGGTTGGTAAGTTTGACCCACCACCGTCTGGTTCAAATAGAGCTTGTGGTGCCACACCAGACTCAAGTGTTGTTGTTGTAAAGTGCCGTTGAGTTGTTTTCCACTCATAGTGAATAGTGTATATGGTTTCTATGGGTTCCAAGGAGTGGCTGCTGAGTTTGAACCACTGACCTTGTGATTCA